TATATTTACAAGTTATATTTACAATAACTTGGAAATATATATATATATTTACAAGTTATTAATAGCTCTATTAGCTTCCTGCATGCATATTACACTTTAATAAAAAGCTTACTTAAAAGAAGCAAGCAGAGGTCGGAGGTCGCAGGCCCCGAAGGCTTCCCCCGGCTGTGGGGAATTAGTGGATGAGTGAGGGGTGGGCGGTGGGCTGGAGAGTGGCCAGGGAGAGGCCCACCGTGTGTCCCTGTCTAACGGCCCTGCCCTGTCCCTCCAGGTCCCCAGGGAGTGAAAAGGGGGCAACCCATCAGACTCGACAAGCTCCGGGGGCTGCTGGGCAGGCCTGCGAACCCAGTGCCCCAGGTGACCGCAGAGGACTGATTGAGCCTGCATTCCTACCTGGGCAGGTCATGGTGGGCAGTCACGTCCCCGGCCTATAACTGCCTCAGCAAAGGTCACGCTTTGCCTTAAGTGAGCCCTGTGCACGGTCCTCTGCATCTAGGATCACATACCTTTGAAATGTCAGGGTTATTTTCTTTTCCAGGCCCTGGGAAGGCGCGACGGCGGGCCCCGAGCTGGAGACCACAGTCCCCTGTTATCTTGCTGCCCACATGCCATCTGTGTGCAGCAAATGTCAGCCTGAACCCTCTTGCACCTGCCGGGGAGGCCGGCGCCCCGCCCTCCTGCTCTCGGTCCCTGCCCCGAGGCTTCTGGTTCTGCTTCGCGCTCTCTCCGCCTCCCTGGTCGGATTTCCAGGCGCCTCCCTTCCCTTCTCTCGTTGGTTCCAAATGCATGACACGCACAGCAGACCTGCCCTTCTCCAGAGCGTTTTCTCTGTCCCTGGAGGTCATGCTTCGGGGCCATGTCCCCAACGTCCGGCTCAGACGGACTCCTGTCAACTTTCTCTGCGGGCGTGGACGTCCTCTCCTGGGCCCGCACGGGGAAGGTCGTACTGGCCCGAAGCCGGGCTCCTGCCGTCCGCAGTGGGGGTTGGGGGGTGGTGGCTCCTGCCAGGAGGGTCAGCGTCACCCCTACCTGCAGAGACACCCTCCGAAGGGGACCGAGTCCTGGCCACCTGTGCTTTCATGGGCTTGTATTTGGTGTCCAGCGAAATGTTCACACTTTGAGGACACATCCCGGGGTCTACAGCCCTGCAAGCCTTCAGCCCCCCGCGGCCTGCTGACAGGTGCCCTCCTGGGGGAGTCCCTCCGGGCCGCGGGGCTGCGCCCTGCCCTGGGGGTTCGCCGCCGGGAGCAGGCAGGAGGGTCGCTCGGGCTTAGTTACCAACGACGCATCGTAGAGAAGGACAGAGTGAAATAACAGTGACCGCGCTGGCTGTTTCCGAGACGACAGGTGCATTTTATTTTACTTTTCTATAGTCTCGGCGACAACCTAAGCGCATTTCAGCTCGGAGATGACACGTTCACGATACGAGACGCAGTAGCCAGAGCAGCTGTGCACAGGGTCCCGTGAGGACAGCGTGTGACTCCAACGTCACGGAAGCGGTGACATCTGTGCTGGAGAGACCCCGGGGACAGTGACCTCTGGAAGGTCCTGCATACGACGATGTGGGACCATCAACGCCCTCCGCCCTTCCCAGCGAAGTGGCGGGTTCCCCTGGCAGGTGGCCCCGGGGCCCCCGCATCGCGCCTGCGCACCTTGCGTCGCGACTTCCTTTCCTGCTCCCGGCAGGTAGCGGCCGGTGATGGGCAGTTGCCCGGGGACCTCGGGGACTAAGGGGTCAGAGCTGCCTCCTGGCCGGGCCCCCCGCCCCTAAGGGAAGGGTCAGCCCGAAGCTCTGCCAGCCCCCCGTCCCTCTCAATCCTTCTCAGGGGCTGTTGCCACCTGTCTACATGGGCGGGGCTTTTTGGAAGAATCGCAGAAGCGGGGCATTAACCACATCCCTAGCCCCCCCTCCCACCTGCCGCCCCGCCTTCAGGTGGGGTGCTGGGGGGCATTCTGCAGAAGGTTCGCTCTCACCCTGGTCATCTCTAAGATGTTTATTTTCACACCTAACTTCCCCCCTGGTGGTTTGCGAGCAGGAGAGGGTGGTCAGGAGACCCGCCCCCCCCATCCACATGGCCCCAGGGGATTCTTGGCTCTGTGACTGAACCCCAAACCCTTCTGTGCCTGGGCTTCTCTCTGTAAAGTGGGGGTGACTGTAGGACCTGCCTCAGAGGGCTGATGTTTTCCCCTTAGGTCAGATTTGCAGCTTCTCCCTTTGCAAAGCGGCCAGGACACTCCCCAGTGGCTGAGAGGCTTCAGCGACGTGATTTATGTAACGCGCCCCGAGGCGTTCAGTAAATCCGGGTTGTTTAGTTGGGGCGTTCCTAGCTAAGCATGCCATTTTAAAAATAATTAATTTTGGATGATTCCCTTTAAACCTCAATTATGCATTATTTGCCTATTTTCCATTTGGGTGCCGCGGAGTTTCATGCTCTCCCAGCGGCCCTGTCACCACGACCCCCGAGGGAGGAACCTCTTTATCCAGCCCTACAAGGTCCTCGGTGCTTGGGTCTGGCGGGGAGGGGGTAGGGAATGAGAATCCCATAAGCTCTCAGAGTTACATACCCGAATCTGAATTCCGTGATTTCATCATTTTAAAGTCCATGACATATTAGATCGTTGATCGTTGTAATTGAACTGATATAATATGGCATGTTTTAAATATTAATTGGGAAATAAAGTCCCACAGTAGCAAAAAAAAAAAAAGAGGTTATTATTATAAGACCTAAAAACTGCTCAGTGATGCACAAGCTACGGAATAAAGCATTACCAATCACAAGACAAAAAATGAATTACGAGTAGGCAGATGTGTCACTGGGTTCCAGCAGATGACAAAGCCAAGGCCAGCGTATCATTCTAGGCCACGTGATACACAGGAGCGAAATTTGGAGTAAGGAAAATGGTTTTTAGTGCGATCTGTATTTAAGCTAAAGGACCCCTCACTTGGTGTTCACAACGAGGCAGAGCTCTTGGTGAAACTTCAAAGGCATTAGACTG